ACCCAGGGAGCAGACAGAGACCTGGCCAACAGTGACTACAAACCCGCTATAGTAGGATCTGTTCTCCATTTCTACCTTGGAACTACAGGAAAAGGGGCAGCTGAAGGAAAGGGCTGTGTCAGGAGGTCTGTCTTTCTCCCATTCTTTCTAAGTTCTTTGCCTTCAGTTCTGCTGTCCCTGTTGCTTTGCCTCCTTTCCTTATCTGCCCATCTCTCGCTTGTCCCTCCCCTGCCTACCTTTTCTTTTTCTCTTCTTTCCCTTGGCCTCTTCTTTTGCCTTCTTTCCTCTTGAGCCCTGTCTTGCTCATCTCCCTGCCCCAACATCCTGTGCCATACTTGTGGTGTGTTCTGGTCTTGGCCAAGGCCAGACCTGGCAGAACTGGTGGATACCTGTTGAGGCAGCGGAGCCCCTGGGCTCTCACCCCATTCCCTCCTCCCGGGGCTGCACAGGTGAGTAGGTGGAAGGTAAGGGGGGCAAGGTGGGGAAGGCGGCCCTAGGCTTAAAGCCTGGGCTGAGAGTGTTCCTCCTGTGGCACTCGGGATCAGGCAATGAGAAGAGACAGCCAGCCTTCAAGGCAGTCCAGAAGGGGTGCTCCTGGTGAGGAGGGGAATGGGGGTTCTCGTCCCCAAGTGCAGACTGGGAAGGAGTGGGTGATGAGCAGGATGGGATGGGCTGTTCCTCGGGTTTTTGGTGTATTTGCTCCTAGAGCAGCCCAGGAGGCATGATGGCTCTGAAGCGTCACTTACTTCTGTCCCGTTCTTGACAGCGCCGTTCGAGAAAGATTTCCCAAGTTATTACGCCTGGTAAGTTTAGCACTTCGTTCTCTTCTAACAAGCACAACCAAGGCCTTGCCTCTGCTCTGTGACCACCAGTGTGGGTGTGGAGATCTCTTTGAAGACCTGCTAGCCGTGGTGGCCATCACCCTAGAAAAGCTCACATGAGACTCCTACACATCCTCTATGCCTTTTATGATTGACTTCTGGCCCATTCCTCTTAGCTTTTCTGTGTGCTTACAGATCAAGTCGTTCCTCCGTTTGACACGTTACATTCACTTTTTCCACAGGATGGCCATGAGCTGCCCCCTCCAATTGCCTTTGATGTTGAAGCCCCCACAATGCTACCACCCTGCAAGGTCAGAATGGGTTAGAATTAGAAATTCATGAGTGGGAAGCATATTGGTCCTGTGATCCTAATGTATTGTTTGATTTCAGGGAAGCTATTTTGGAACAGAGAACCTAAAGAGTTTGGTCCTGCACTTCTTGCAGCAGTGAGTATCCCAAGAGCCCCTGGGGCTGGGGATAGTGGCCTGTGCATAGCTTCCTACTGTGTCCCTCTGCTTTCAGACACAGAACTCAGACTCTTCCTTTCACTTTCCTTTAGGTACTATGCAATTTATGACTCAGGAGACCGCCAGGGGCTCCTGGATGCCTACCATGATGGCGCCTGTTGCTCACTAAGCATTCCTTCCATCCCTCAGAACCCTGCCCGGTGAGTGTCATGTGTCAGAACCTACCCATAACCACAAGGTTCACTGGGATACAGGCCACAGTTCTGATCACCATCTTCCCCTCCTATTTTCCAGAAGCAACTTGGCTGAATACTTCAAAGACAGTAGAAATGTGAAGAAGCTTAAAGATCCCAGTGAGTATGTCAATCAAAATGGAACAGTCATTAGAGCTAGCTAGTGCAGGTGTGTCCTGACCTTGGTTTCTCTTCCTTCTGCTTGCAGCCCTGCGGTTCCGGCTGTTGAAGCATACACGTCTCAACGTTGTTGCCTTCCTCAACGAGTTACCCAAAACTCAACATGACATCAATTCCTTTGTGGTAGACATAAGTGCCCAAACAGTAAGCATATATTCTTGTGACAGAAGCCCAGAACTGGGGTGGGTGATGGCGCAGTACTCCCGGGTGAGGGAGCTCAGGCTCTGGTTGGGAGCCTCCATCGCTTGATGCCTTTTCTCTTTCAGAGCACACTGCTGTGTTTCTCTGTCAATGGAGTTTTCAAGGAAGGTAAGAATCTTGAGTCCTCCTGAGTCTTTCTCTGTATCCTTAGTTTCCCAGCTATCTTCTCATCCCTTTTCTTCTCTGACCTTCTTATTTTATCCAGACCATCTTAACTCCTACCTGTCTTAGATACAGTGTGACAAAAACTTGGGGACCAGAACAGTGTAGATGGAAGAGTCAGCCAGGTCTGCATTTCCAGCCCTGTGTTTGCTCTGTGGGTCTGGGAAAGTTACTGAACCTCATTCTTTTTTTTCTGTTTGTTTAATGAGGTTCTTAATACTCTTGCAGTGTTGCTTTAGGAAGTGAAGTGACTTCAGATGTTTTGCCACGCCACAGGCTAAGCACTTTCCAAGTTGTTTCACTTAACTTCCTATTACTGTCCTTCCTGTTAACTATCCTCCCTGCTCTGTCCCTTTATCCTATTTCTGTTCCCCTGTGTCCAAATAACCATCCTTACACCTGACCAAGTTAGGATTCTCTGTATCAAATACTGGGATTGAGAATTCTTTGTAAAGATTAAGCCTGAGTGACTCTAAGGAGCCATTGCTGCTGTTCTCATTGCAGTGGATGGGAAGTCTCGAGATTCTTTACGTGCGTTCACGAGAACATTTATTGCTGTTCCTGCCAGCAATTCAGGGTAAGTGGTCAGCTTATCAGGGTAAATATCAGTCTCAGTCTCAGACCAGCAGTGTGGTAACTGGAAAGAATTCTTCCTCAGGAGTTACCTGAGTGGCAGAAAAGCAATAGGAAGTTCATGAAGCCTGAGAACAACTATGAGTAGGTTGGGGACTGAATATATAATAATTCTAGTGTGTTTGGGAGATAATCCTCCTAAACACCTAGTCTGTAGTCAAAAATAAAAAAAGTTACATGGGATGGATATTAACCAGATCTGAGAACAGAGACAGTGTAGAAGGGTGAGATTTGTCCATTTATTTAAGGTGTTCTTTGTCTCCAAGGCTATGTATTGTAAATGATGAACTATTTGTGCGGAATGCCAGCCCTGAGGAAATCCAAAGAGCCTTCGCCATGCCTGCACCCACACCTTCCTCCAGCCCAGTACCCACGCTCTCCCCAGAACAACAGGAAATGTTGCAAGCATTCTCTACCCAGTCTGGCATGAACCTCGAGTGGTCTCAGAAGTAAGTCTTGAGCATGGATAGGGCCAAGAGGAATCAGATGGCCTGACAGTGAATAATAGTGCTTTTAAAAAAAGATTCCACCAAAAAGCGTTGATGGTGCACGCCTTTAATCCCCGCACTCAGGAGGCAGCACTCACTCTGTGAGTTCAAAGCCAGCCTGGTCTACACAGCAAGTTCCAGGACAGCCTCCAAAGCCACAGAGATACCCTGTCTTGAGGGGGAAAAAAATCCTACTAAGATTTCTGCATAAACTATAAAGTTCCAAAACACAAATGAAGAATGAATTGTTTCCCCCCCAGTAGAATGAGGGGTTGGATCTAGAATTCATATATGTGAGACAAACACTACCAGTAAGCTAATTTCCCTCGCCCTCTTTTTGTTGTTTTGAGACAGGGTCACACTATGTACTTGTCTGGCTTTGAACTCAATATCTGCCTACCTCTTCCTCCAGAGTAGTGTGATTAAAGGAATGAGTCATTAACCAGCTCTTTACCAAGCCCTGGACTCAGTGGTCCTCATCAAAGGGAGCTGTGACTATTAGGTGTAATCCTGGTTCCAGAGTCCTTTTTATATATGGTTCTGTAATGTAGTTTTGCTTTGAGACAGGGTTTTATTCACTGTGTACTTGGCTGCTTGGAAGTTCCTATGTAGCTCAGGTTTGCCTCAGATTCAGGAACTCCCACCTGCTTCAACCTCCCGAGCGGTGGGATTAAAGGCCTGTACCATCTTGCCCACCTGCAACTTGGTTTTTAAGCCCTGATTATCCTTCCCTTCCAGTCTAAAATTACTTTGGTCATTTTTGCTGGACATTTTGACATTTTAATGTTTGTATAAGTGGTGCAACAATGTATAAATTTACTAGACAACTTTGATGTCTTTCTCCTTGAGATGGATTCTAGAGTGACTTTTTTTAAGTGATCATAGTGACTGCATTTTGGTTCTCATGTGGCTTCCTATTTTACTCCCACTCCAGGTGCCTTCAAGACAACAACTGGGACTACACCAGATCTGCTCAGGCCTTCACTCATCTCAAGGTATAGCATGGAAATTGTGTGGCTGAAAACAGGGTGCTCTGAGCTTTGGAAAGGGTCAGATGAAGGCTGGGTGTAGTGGTGCTTGCCTTTAATTCCAGCACTTGGGAAGCAGAGGCAGCCAGATTGAATTTAAAGCCAGCCTGGCCGGGCGTTGGTGGCGCATGCCTTTAATCCCAGCACTCGGGAGGCAGTGGCAGGCAGATCTCTGTGAGTTCGAGACCAGCCTGGTCTACAGAGTGAGTCCAGGACAGCCTCCAAAACAATACAGAGAAACCCTGTCTCAAAAAATCAAAAAAAAATAAAATATAAAAAAATAAAGCCAGCCTGGTCTATATAGAGTGCCAGCTCACATGAGCGGGCACGGCAGATGGGAAAGGAGTCCTCAGGCTCTCTATTAACCCCTTTTCTCTTTCTGCAGGCCAAGGGCAAGATTCCAGAAGTAGCGTTCATGAAATGATCACAGGAAAAGCCCCCTTGTAAATAGCCCGTGGATAATATTGTCTGGCTGTCATCTGCCATCTCCTGTCCAGCCCGAGGCCAGCCTGTAACTGTGACTGAGGAGGGAGGGCTGCCTCATCCTCACCTACCTTCTGGAAGACTTACAGAAGACTTCTGGAAGATTGAGCCTCATGGTGCCAGGAAGCCAAAGCTTACTTTGTAGAGCTGACACTAAACTACCCGAAGGACTTAGGTGCTCTGTGTACTTAACCCCTGATTCCCTTTACTTTTTAAGATAAAGAGTGATATTGTACTTTGTGTCCCATTACTGGCTTGTTTCCCTCAAAGCGGGAGGGGATGGGAGGGTGTGCGTCATGACAGGAAGTCCCGCCCCGGAGACGGAAGTGCCTCGCCATGGCGGCATCTTGCAGGCCGTGGGTCTGCAGGTTGTTGTCCGTGCTGCGTTCCCCTCCTGCATGCCGGACTTTGCAAAATGGGGTACCACGGGATGTGCTGCTCTTCCAGCATGAACGGGGCCGCTTCTTTGCCATCCTTGGACTGTTTTGCGCCGGTCAGGGCATCTTCTGGACGTCCCTGGCTGTTGCAGCGTTGTCTCGACCTCTGATCCGAGTTCCTCCAGAGGCTCCCAACCGGGGCTACACAGACCTGCGCTCCGCACTCTGGCGCTACGGGTTAGCTATTGGTTGCGGCACGATGGGTAAGGGCATGGGCTCCAGGCTGTCAAGGGGGCTGTGAGCACAAAAGTCACTCAAGGAAGGAAGGGTTCCCATTCCCCCCAGATGAGCAGAAATGTAAGTGGGATACCCGGTATAGGTGTAATGTGTCTAAGTTCCCGAACCCGTTTTCTCCCTTTAACAACGGGGCTGACCATGTCGCTATTGCTCAATTTGTAGAGTGCTTGCTTAACTAGGCATGAGGCCTTGGGTTCAGCCCCCAAAACCGCATAAACTGTACCTGGTGGCACCCAGCTGTAGTATTAGTATTTAGACAGTGGAAGCAGGAAGATCACAAATTCAAGGTTATTGAACATACAACAAACTTGTGGCCAACAGGGATTAAAAGACCCTGCCTTTTTTTTTTTTTTTTCTTTTTCCCCCTTCCCTCGAGACAGGGTTTCTCTTTATAAAACAGCTCTGGCTGTCCTGGAACTAGCTTTGTAGACCAGGCTGGCGAACTCACAGAGATCCATCTGCCTCTGCCTCCCGAGTGCTGTGACTAAAGGCGTGCGCCACCACCATCACCACTTAGGAACACAAAATTCTTTTAAGTGCTCAAAGCTGTTACTGCCATTTCAGTCATGGACAACTCTAAAGGGGTCTGCATAACCCTTTACTCCTTTACTCTGCTTCTCCTGCAGGAGCCTTGGTCCTTGGTGCTGGTCTTCTCTACTCTCTCCGATCTGTGCGTTCAGTCATGCTCCTCGCAGGAGGGCAGCAGGTGACGCTTACTACTTATGCCCCTTTTGGCTTGGGAACACGTTTCACAGTCCCCTTGAACCAGGTTTCCTGCATGGCCCACAGAGGTGAAGTTCCTGCCATGTTGCCTCTGAAGATCAAAGGCCGACGCTTCTACTTCCTTTTGGACAAAGCTGGACACTTCCCCAACACTCAACTCTTTGATAACACTGTGGGTGCCTATAGGAGCCTATGAAATGCGGCTTGCCCATCTCGGATGAGGAGACAACCCAGGGCAAGAAAAGGCACCCTGGATTCACTCATAGTCAATAAATCCATCATTCTGTCTTCTCTCTCATCTATTAGCTTTGATACCAAGAACTCTATACATTCATTGATGAAGAAAAGTAATTATTATTTTGGTACAAAAAATGTTAAGGTGAAAAAGCACAGGGTTCCTATTCTAGTTTCCCTCCTGGAGGGAAAACTGAGGTTCTCAGTATAAACAGGGCTGTATATGAGGCAAGAAGATTAAAAGCTCTTGGGGATGGAGGTTCTGGCTGCAGAAAGCACTGAGTATTCTTCAGGAGTGAGACAGGCACTATCCAATAAGAGCATCCGTCTCAGAGCTCCGCTCTGGGGTGGCTTGAGACTTGCACTGCACGACCTGGAGCATCAAGGCCAGACACCACAGTACCAGATTCACCCAAGAAGAGGTCTGAGAAGAGAACAGGGGTGTGAGGAACGAGCCATCTCAAATCCAGTGATACCCACACAATGTGCTCTGTTCAGAATCAGGTGACAAGCCCATGGCTACATGGAACTCTACAGGCAAGCATATATTACAGATATTTAATCTTAGTATATCCCTTTGTCTCACTTCAGCGTTTTGCAGGTTGGAGTAAAACTGCACAGCAGTTCCAGGGGGTGTCCATGCGGATTTCTGGGCTTCAGAACAGCTGTGGGGTAAAGAGAGAGTTCTGACAAAGGGAACATACTCCAAGCACAATTGTGTTCCTAGAGATAAGGTCCAAAGGATGAGGATAAAAATGGAAACTTGTCCCCTACAGAGGGAAAATATCTCTGCAAGGCTTCCCTACCCCTCGCATTACCTGCGTGTACGGTTCAAGGAGATGATGGAATTGCAGAGAGAACTGGTACCAAATCGAAGTATACAGGCAGACACCAGTGTCAGGAAGACGGCCACAGCTGAGATGACCAACGCAATTCGAAGCCCTATGGAACCTCTGAGGGAGAGAACAAAGCATTGTAGCTTGGATGGGACCCCTCTCGCCCCCGCCCCTTGTCCTCAGCAGGGCAGTCACCTGTGGGCATCCTCGATGCAGCTGCTGTAGACCCAAAAGAGGAGAAGCAGAAGGCAGTAGAGGGCCAAGAGGCCTGATGCCCCGGCTACAAAGTGGCAGAGGGAAGGGGCTGAGGGGCGGGACAAGGCCAGGGAGGAGCCATTGAGGGCAGCCACACCATACAAGGGGCAGCTACCACCGAAGGAGCCCTGTGGAGAGAAGTTGTTGAGTCCTGGGTTCCACTTCAGTTCCCCGAGTTGCAACTTACTGCCACAAATTAGGTGAAAGGTGGGACAGACTGATATGGATCTGCTGGGAACCAAGTCTGCAGGGTCCAGAGGGGGTCAGAGTTCAGTGGGTTGTAATAGAAACCCCGCTTCTTTAAAAAAAAAAAAAAAAAACCAAGAGCCCAGCAGTGGTGGTGCACACCTTTAATCCCAGCACCCGGAAGCAGAGGCAAATGGATCTCGATAGTTCGATGTATTCTATTACCAAGACCGCTTAACGTAGTAGACCTTAAATGTACTTAAGTATACGTCCCCTCATTTCACACACCGTATTACAATCACGCGGAACCTGGGTCATTCCAGTATACAGTTTTTTTTTCACAATGTTTCTATTGGATGGATGCAAAGACTGGCCTGTGTATCTCAGCACCTAAGTAAACTTCTGCAGCAGTTAACCAGCTCATCTTGGACTCGAAGAGGGTCTGCTTGTAAAGTTCCTTTGGCAAGGAAACAAGTTTGGGACTTCAAAGTCCCCAGCCCCGGCCGGCTCAACCCCAAGGCTAGCCCGCCCCGCAGCCGCACCTGGGTCCTGGTCAGTGCCGCGGCCGCCACAGCCCCGCACAGGAAGGCAGCAGCGAAGAGCGCGAGCTCAACTCGCTGCAACCAGGTAAGCGCCATGGCGCCCAGGCCACCAGGAAGCCAACCGCCCAAGCCCCGCCCACAATCACAGACACGTCACTTCCTGGAGAGGATTTATTCTTGGGGGGCGGCTGTGGCAGCCTACAGCGGCAGGTACAGTGAGTAGTCCGAGAGCGCCCAGCGTCGGGCCGGGCGGCCGGTGCGGCCGATCATGGGCAGTTTCTGCACGTAGCGGGATGCCGGGCTCGGCCCGTAGGGCGCGGGGAAAGCAGTCTGGAAGAGACGCCCGCGGCAGCGCCGCCCGGCCTGACGCCCAGCGATGATAAAACGGAAGTGAGGGGCACCGCGGGGCGCGAAGCGGCTCTTCTGGAAGACGTCTCGCGTTCCCGCACCAGGACCCTGCTGACGAGGAGCGCCCCGCGCCCGGTGCACGCGCGGCAGCGGCCTGCCCTCCGAGGCGGCGGCGGGGCCCCCGCCGAGCGGGCTCTCGTCCCCGTGCGGGCTGACCACGGCGCTGGCGGTCAGCTGCGGCATTTTCCGCACCGAGTCCGGGGCGGCCACCGGCTCCTTCTTGTTTCCGCGTGGTCGCGGGGCCGTGGGCGCGGGCTGGCCAGTGCCGAAGCGAGTGGCCAAGCTGTCACCGAAGAAGGCGTACAACTCACGGTAGATGTCTGCCAGGGTCAAGGAAGAAGGGTCCTCTGGCGGCGGCGGGAGCCCAGACCCAAAGCCTGGCTCGGCACCGCCCCCCGGAGGAGACTCTTGCAGGAGGAGGCTGTCCCAAGGCAGGTCCTCCGCACGAGGGCACCTTCTCCCACCCAAGCCGCCGCGGTGGAGATCTGCTGCCTGGGCTTTCATCTTCAGTAGTCGCTCTACGGCCACCTGTAAACAAAGAGCTAGAAGGAACCTGGACTAGCAGGCATCTCAGAGTAAACCTGCTGAGTACTGTAAGAAAGGCAAGCTGGGCCTGGCTACTCACCAGAATAGCTCCATAGACTTTGTGCCCGTCTGCTTTGACCTGGGCATTAGACACTGAATAGTCATCCAGCACTGCCTGCAGGTTTGTCCAGTAAGTGGGCAGATGTGGGTACAGGACTCGTTCTACTGCCTAGAAGGGAAAAAGGAATGCAGTAAGCAACCTCGTCCCATGCGCCCTCTTGAGTACCCTTTCCCACAGAAGACCCACCTGGATTGTTGGCAGGCCCAGCCCTCAATCCAGCGTTTCTCTGGGGTCTAATCTATGTACAAGCTTTTGGTAGGCATGAGGTATAAAGACATACAAATATAGGCGGTGGTACACTCCTCTAATCCCAGCACTCGGGAGGCAGAGGCAGGCGGATCTCTGGGAGTTCGAGGCCAGCCTGGTCTACAGAGTGGGATCTAGGACAGGCTCCAAAGTCACAGGGAAACCCTGTCCCGAATCCCGTCCCCCAAAATAGACCCATTACTGCCTTTTATAGTGGGCTAATACAAAAACACCAATGCACATAAAAATCTTAAAAAATCATTTTTAATAACAATAAATAAAAAAAGCATTGAGGGAGCCGTGCGTTGGTGGCACACGCATTTAGTCCCAGCACTTGGGAGGCAAAGGCAGAGGGATCTCTGTGAGTTCGAGGCCAGCCTGGTCAACAGAGCGAGTTCCAGGACAGCCTCCAAAGCAATACAGAGAAACCTTGTCTCAAAAAAAAGCATGGAGGGCTATACAAGCCTGGTGACCTGAGTTCAATCCTCTGAACCCAGGTAAAGTTAAAAGAGAGAACTAACTCTACAAAGTTGATGTCTCCTCTGGCCTCTACACACTTGCTGTAGCAAATATGTCCATACACACACATCATGCACTTACATAATCACACTAATAAAGATTTTTTTCAAAAGGAGCAAAATGTAGCTGAGTTAGTTGAATGGTTAGCTAACATGCTGTAAGCCTAGGTTTGATCCCAGCACGGCATAAACTAGGTGTGATGGTTCATGCCTATAACACTAGCATGCCAGCATTCAGGAGGTAGGAAGAGGTTCAAAATTACCTTCAGCTACAAAGCAAGTCCAAGGCCAGACTGAGGTAAATCAGCACATAAAAATTCAGCTTAATCCAATAGAAATTTTTGTTTCTTTCTCGTTTTTTTTCCCTTTGGTTTCTTCAAGACAGAGTTTCTCTGTATAGCCCTGGCTGTTCTGAAACTTGCTCTGTAGACCAGGTTGGCCTCAACTCTTGAGATCTGCTTGCCTCTGCTGGTATTAAGGTATGTGTGCCAAAACGCCTTTTTGTTTTGTTTTGTTTTGAGCACTATTATTTTTAAATGCTGGTTAGAACCTAAGTATGCTTTTTCTGATCATTTGGACTTCCTTATTTTTTAATACCCCTTCTGTAAAAAATAAGGAAGTCCAAATGATCAGAAAAAGCATACTTTCATTTGGTATTTCTCTAAAACTTAAAGTCACTATAAATTCAAAATGAAACAAATAGAATTATTCCAAGAAAACTTCATTATAAAACACTAAAATGTGCAATATAATAAAAACTGAAGTACGGTGCCTGAGGAAAGATAATCACAAACTCAAGACCAGTATGGGCTACAAAACAAGCACTGTCTCAAACAAAAAACCTAAAGAGAAAAGGAGGTAAAGAAAATAAAGAAATTAGGGTATTTCCTAACATGGTGTTATGGAATGGGCAGGGATTCTTAAAAAAAAAAAAAAAAAGGAGCATACTATAAAGACCTTCAAGCAGGAACTCTGAAAGGATTATACATTTACATATAGACAGTCAAGGTATACAATAAGCCTGGCCTATGGCAAGGTCTCAATACATGGCTTCAAACACCAGTTTTACAATAAAATGTACATAAATGTGATTTTTCCAAAACACATGGCAACTCTCAAAGACCTGTGAGAAAAGCCAGGTTTCTCACCTTCCAGCCTAGAGCATGCAGCCCGACCACAGCCCCATAATGAGAACAGAGAGGCCGAACAGGGTCTGTCAGGACCTTCTGCAGGGAGAGCAGAATCTGCTGATAGAGGCCACTTACAAGGTCCCCATGAGTCCTGTGGAGGCAAGTCAGGAAAGGGAATGAGGCACTGCGCACAAAGAGGGTACTATGCGACAGGCTGCCAGGTGTGAGCGGCCCAGGACCCAAGGTTCGAAAGACTGATATCTTGGTGTTTGTAATTGTACCGCTACCACAAGATAACTGACTCTGTAAGCTATCCCCCACCCCCCCTGTTCAGCTCAGCAGTGGCTACCAGAAGATGTGGCTGAGTAGAAGGGCAGCCCCGTCCCGGAGAGTCCAGTGGTCATTCAAAGGGTTGATGGAGGCAGCCAATGGCTCCAAGACACAGTAGAGCACGCTGCCCACCAGGGAGCGGACGTAGGGCACCAAGCACAGGTGTGGGTTCCGTATCAGGCTCCGAGCCACCTGCAGTAGCCGGTGCAGCTGTTCCAGGTCATGGCTTACAGATTTCACCTGGTGGTAAAAGTGGGTGACTCAGGAAGACATGGAGGGGGGGGGCGCCGCGAGGGCTGCCATTCTGACAGCATCTGCTATGAATCCCAACCCTGCAGGGTCACCTTCACTAGGAAATCGGTCACTTACCCCACTGACCACATAAACAAAGTAAGGCAGAAGTGCTGCGATCTTGGAGTTTGTCTGCAGGTCCTGGAGGGCAACCTGAAAGGAACCACCTCAGTAAAAGAGCCACCAACTGGAGGGTGGGTGAGCACTGTACCCATGTGTTATGTTAATGTTCATGCCCTGATGCAGCAACTCCATCAGTTTAATAAAGAAAGTGAACACAGGCTAGGTGTGCCACACGAGGTGTGCTCGAGCACCCGTCTGAAACCAGCCTGACCCTCTTCCAAAAGAATACCCTCTTCCAAAAGAACACGGGTGGGACCAGTGAGATTGTTCAGTTTGGCGAAAACACTGTCACACAGCCTGCCAACCTAAGTGAAAACCTCGAAACCATGTGAACATAAAAGAGAACTGACTCCATGAAGGGTTCTCTTTCTTTCACACATGTGCCATAGCAGGCACAAATGTCAGTACACAATAATGACAACAGTGAATATCGCTATCCAGTATTATTGCGTTTTGGGGTCTGATGTATCCCATAACTAATTATGTGACTGGTGCAGAAACTGGTGCCCCTCCCTCCCATTTCCTAAGTACTAGGATTACAGGTGTTCACCACAATGCTTACTTATCCAGCATAGCATTAAGAAAAAGCTGTGGGTTAGGTTCAATGGCTGCAGCCTGTACGCTCTGTACTCGAGAGACTGAGACATGAAATCTGCAAATCTGAGGCCAGCCTGGGATATAATAGTGAGGCCAAGGGTTGTCTCAAAACAAAACCCAAGGAAAATAATAAGGTAAGTTGTAGAACCAGATACCACTTATGTTTATATTAATGTAACCATAACTTGTAAATAGGAAAAACAAGTGCATGAGAAGACTATATGCTTTTATATGTAACTCCATAATAAATACATCCTGGTATGGTTAAGTAGTGTAGAGCACTTGCTGTTCTTGCAGAAGACCAGAGTTCAGTTCCTAGCACCCACATAACAGCTTATACCTGTCCATAACTCCAGCTTTAATGGATACACACTCTCTCCTGACTTCCATAGGCAATGAACAAAAATGCCCTGCTTACCTAAATGAATCCAGGCAAAATACTAGACACATAAAATAAGGGCAGTGTTGGCACATGCCTTTAGTTCAAGTACTCAGAAGGCAGAGGCAGGAAGATCTCTGTAAGTCTGAGGCCAGCCTGGTCTACAGAGGGAGTCCAGAACAGCCAAGCCTACATAGAGAAACCCTCTCTCAAAAACTCCAAAATAAATGAAGTAAATTCTTTAAAATATAAAGTGGCCACGCCGGGCGTTGGTGGTGCACGCCTTTAATCCCAGCACTTGGGAGGCAGAGGCAGGTGG